CTTACTTTTTTTGAATGCTACTGGCTCTATTACATTGTAGTATCTGTTAATATACTTTCTCAACCTACTAAAACACAAAGAACTAATAACGCCTCCACTAAGGATCGAACTCACAACCTTCTAAATGAAGTCCAATCCGGGTACCATTAGACCACATAGTCCTGGTAAATATAAACCTTACTTAGTCATCGATGCATGTATGTATAGTATTGACTTTTTGATTTCGTGTTTAAGTATTGTATACTTGGAAAACCATAACCATTGGAAAAGTGTACATAAAATGGAGGGGTGGCCGGGTATGTATATATGCCTCAAAATTTCATTATATTTTTCAACCGAAATGATTGAGAGGAAATTTGATGAAGATGGAGTTGTGGATATGGCTTAAATTAGTGTGATACAGGTCACAGAAATTTGTAGGTGGATGAATCAAATGAACTGTGCAGATAATATATAAATATTTAATTTAATTAGGTGCTAATTACAAGTAGAGTGCTGTATTAATTCTGTGGCAAGCGTCATCCACTCTCTTCTGCCCTCATTTAATTTTTACTCATAATATATATATATATATATATATATATATATATATATATATATATATTGATGAAAATTCAAATATTGTAAATATTCATTTACATATAATAATTTTTTTTTTAAAATACTATTGACTCTATTATATGGTAGTATTTGTTAACTACTGCCGTCAAAGAGCCACAGATGTGTCATGAGCATAAGGTGTTTGGCATATTAAACTTTAGTTAATTAATATAGAAAATTCAAAAACTTTGACAATCATTTAGTCAACAGCAATTAATGTTGCATTTCCCTCTTAATTTCACCTGTTATGTAGCAATATGAGTTAATATATATATATATATATATATATATATATATATATATATATATATATAAAAGGGGTGAGAAACAAAGTCGTCACGAATTAGAAAGATAGATGGTTACTAATCTCAAACATCTTTCTTATGATTTTCATCTCATTAACGCAACACACGGAGAGATGTAATGACTAGACTCTTTGTAAGCTTTATTGGTGTTTTTATTGTAGAGTTATTTATTTATTTATTTATTTATTGTTTCACTTGCCATTTGTATGAAAAAGTAAAAGAACTTCTTCATGAGCTGTTTTCTTGAATCTCTTATTAAAATTGATATGTTTGAAAAATTACTACAATTATATGAGTTATACACTGTACACCCAAATTTGCTTTTGATCAAGTAGCTAGTAAAACTTAAACTTCTAATTGTTAACTAGATACCTTCCGCTAATTGTTTTTACCCGAGATCATTCAAAGAAGTGTTATATACTTTAGTTCTACAAAATACACAAAATTAACCTACTTATATAAGAAATTAAACATCATGATTCTATGAAGTGAATTTACGTATCATCGGGAGAATAAGAAGCAAATGAGATATAAAAATACATTTAAACAAATATGTTAAGGGTTAGATCATGTTTTTTCATACACCCTATAATATATTAAAGGATAATTTTTTTTTTTAATGTTTTGTGGGAGCTATCTATTAACATTCTTAGTTTAAGGCGGTTAACTATGGGTAATCTAAACTAGTTTACCTCATTGTAGTCTTTTGTCGGCTAGTGTTACTAATGAATTTCACCCAAAGTGCACTTTCAAATAGTCACTGCGGTTTTTCTGTATTGGATTTGTAAACCAAAGGAGAATCCATTTTATCCATTGATAGAGTAAATTGTTTCGAGTAGGGTAAATGTGACCGGAAACTCTATTATAGGTGAAATAATATGGTCGGGAAACTAGATAGGCATCCAACCAAACTAGGTCAAGAGACTCCAAGTGGAGTGGTGTAGGTTGGGAACCAAAAAGACCCCCTCAATGTGAAATAAATATCCTTTATATAGGGATGGGAGATTGTCGAGTGCTCGACATGTCATCCACGTGTCTTAAGGAGATCGGGCAGTACGTGAAGCTATGCTTGTCAAGTGTCCTTAGAGGTTTGACACGTGGAGGGACGCTGGGAGATCGGGGAGTCTAGTGATAATGACACCGAGATCGGAAGGTCTACTAATAATGACACTACAAATGTTTACTAAAAATGAGAACATGAAGGTCTAATGATAATGACACTAGAAAGGTCGTCTATTAATAACGAGACCGAGTGGTTTACTAATAATGAGACCGAGAATGTCTAATGATGATGAGACCGGTAAGGTCTACTAATAATGATACCATGAAGTAGGCATACCCTCTAAGGTCGGTAAATACACTAGTGTATGTGTTCACGAAGTATACTAGTGAGGTCGAGAATTGAAGTACACTACTGAGGTCAAGAAATGTACTAGGGTGGTTGGAAAAACACACTACTAGTGAGATTAAAAACAAAATAAAAACAAAAAAAAAAACAAAAAAATAAAAAATAAAACTAGTGAACTGCATATGGCAAGTGAGTTGCCCTATATAACCTATTACCCATATATACTTTTTTCAATCGTTACTTTTAGGTTCAAACTTACATTTTTTTATTAAGTTGAAAGAGACTCGTGCATTCTCACCCAATCTCTAAAGATTTGGGTCTTCGGAAGTCTTATTTCCAAAGGTAGTGTGCAGCTTCTAACTTGATTAAGGCGCGACTTATGAATTACCAGAATTCACTGCAAAAAACGTTGTGGCTGACAATTACTCCATGAATTTGTAGTCAACGTGTAGATACCAACCACAAAGTTGTATTGTTTGTTTTATTTATTTATTTATTTTATTTTTTTGGGTGGGAATATTGTTTGTTTCATATTTGCTTTGATTCTTGACGCAAATTTATTTGACTTTAGGGAGTACAATGGACGGTGACGATGTGACTCAAGGCCGGATTTTGAACTGTGCAAGCTCGGTTACCGCACAAGGCTCCAAATTTTAGAGGCCTAATATTTCATTTTTACCTAGCTAGTTTAAAAATAAAAATTAAAAGTTTGCAATTAAATTTAAAATGCTTTATGAAGAAATGGTAGGAATATATGTTATTGTATTTTAACTTGGAGGTCTAAGGTTCAAAACTTGTGCACACTATTATTATTGTTATAATTGTAATTTATATTATTATTATTATTATTATTATTATTATTATTAATTTATATTATTATTATTATTATTGTTGTTGTTGTTATAATTGTAATTTATTCCATTATATGTCTTTTGGCTGTTTCTTTGCGCACAGTAACATTTTATCACCTTATTATTATTATTATTACTAGTATTTTTACCCGTGCGTTGCACGGAATAGATTTGTTATAATCCCGCCGAGAAGTTCATCGACCTAAGTCAGCGGTGAGTCCCAAGGGACCCTTGACCCGGGGAAGACAGGGGTCAGTCAACACAGTCGACAACGGCTTCAACGCTTTGAAACTTCAATGAAGAAGGCAGTACGAACTTCTTGTTAAAGATTCGATTAGTGAGAAAGTGTGGTCCAAGAAAGGGGTCTATGCCTTAACTCTTTAAGAATATTTCGATGAATATACAAATATAAATTATAACAATGAATATTATATAGTGCAATTGATGAAATGGGTTGTATCGATTATGTTTTTTGATGTTATCCTTGCTTGAATTCGAGCAAATAATTGCCCAATTATTCGTGCAGTACGCGTGCAATGCACGTGCGATGTACGGATAAAATTTTTTATTATATATTTAAATAATAAAATTGTTACTATTTCTTTAATCCTTTCAAAATTTGCTAAATATTCATTAAAATACGTGGGAATACGTATCAATGCAGAACACTACTGAAATTTTTTGTGTGAGCAGAAACGGACATGGGGGACTGTTTCAACATTAGAGAGAAACGGTCTTCCCGAAAATGCTTTTCCTTGATTGATATCTGGTTAGAACAGTATAGATTAGAAAAAAATTTATAGTATTAATTTTAAAAATTTTGATTTTGATAGGACTTCATTTATTTATCAGAACAGGACCACAAAAATCTAAAAACCGGCCTGATGTTACTCATGGGCGTATGTTTTGTATGTATATCTTTTTCAGAAGCCTAATCAAATTTGATACATGCCACAAAATTTTAATTATATTAATACATCAAAGAGATATTTTGGAGGGTAGCTAATATAACCTCCCTGTCAGTATACTCGAAATGGAAACTCTATGAGTTACATTTTTTAATCTTTCTTGGAATCCACCAAAAGGGACGTCAGAATTGATAGAATATTACCTTATATTTGTCCAACATCTAATTCCTTCTGTTGCCACAATTCATATCCTTCTTCTTTTTCCGTTTTGTTTTTAATATATATAACATTTTAATCAATATAATGCATTATAATCAACCTATTATTATATAAAGAATGATATAAGTAAATAATTTGTTGTACTAGTTCGATCTACCGCTTATGGTGACGTTGAAGTCTAGCTAGAATAGTGAGATGTATGTACTTTGTGGCTTTCAATCCATACATGTTCTGATTTCATTTGGATTTCCTATTGTATATATTCTTTCTTCACATGGAGAGTTGAGGCCCTATAGAGTCTTCGGAGCAGCATTTACAAGTAATTTGAGAATATTCAACCGCCAGTGTTAAACTTTTATAATGAAGTTAACAACACATTAACAGCAATTAGGGTGCTATATATAGGTTTGGGTGAACAAGTCTTTCCTAACAACGACTCGTTGGATTTTATTATAGACAAGAAGAGCGACACAATTTTTTGAAACGTCTAACTTTATATGCTATTTTCTTCGTTTGTAGTAGAGACTTTTTTTTACTGACAGTTAAATGTGACATTTAGGCCGGGGTCTATTTAACCCCTCATTAAGGTTAAGAAGTAAGGTTCTTCTTCCTATACTCTATTTACACAAAAAAAAAAAAAAAAAAAAAAAAATAAGAAGAAGAAGATAATTGAGTTAAATACAACAGAAATAAGACAATATATGTGAAATAAATGAAAAAGAAGAGTAGCATACATTGAAATTAAGAAGTAAGCGAGTATATATATGATAAAAGAAATGAGAGAGCAACTAAAATATTGAATAAGGTATTCTCAAATTTACACCCCAACAAAAAACGAACAAGAAATTTTGTTTTTTTTTTAAAAAAAAAAAAAAAAAAGTTACAAATTAATATTGTCCCTTTTATTTATTCTCTGGAGTCCCTTCCCTCCAAATATTTTCCCTCATTAAACATTAAACTTATTCGGAAATTAAATAATAAATAAATGATGAAATAAAAACTTATACTGATCGAAACTAACCAACTTTTAAATAACCTTAACGGCAGCAATAATATAATCCCCGGTCTGGTCTGGTCCGGTCCGGCTTCCCCCGTCTCCGGCCTCTCGTTTTATCTCCGATGCGATGGATGGATCCTCAAAAAGAAAACAAAAAACACTCCAAAATGTTTGTATCTGTGCAGTTTCAATATTTTTCACCGCGCCACCGCATCTGAAGCCCAACCGGAATTTTCAGTCTGACCCACAATGCATTGTAATGTAATGTACATCTTCTGACACCCTGCAAAAATCTGTTGACCCACTCGCTATTCCCAATGCCTCACTCATAATTGTCCGCCTTTTTTTTTAATCTCCGCTCGCCTGCCTTTTCTTCTCTCCATCTTTGCATTGCTTCACTGATGAGCTCGCTCAAACTGTGCTGGTCGCGGTGGTGGTCGCCGTGGACGGCGGTTTGTTTGTCACTATCTCGTACCCTCCTCCGCCTTCGTCGTCGTCTTCGTCGTCATCATCGTCGCCGTCGTCCTCCTCATCAATGTTGTCGCTCTCGTGGTCGTTGAGAGGGTGGTGGTGGTGGTGGTGCTCCGGCGGGAGTGGCCACTGCTGTTCGGGCTGGACCATGATGGGTACCATCGGGTTGTTTTCCGGTTTTAACGCTGAACCGGGAGGATTGAAGGAAGCTTCATTTTTGGATTTTTCCTTGTATATAGCATCTAACAGGTGAAAATAGGGGCAGGTCTTGGAATCTTCTGGCCTTTTCTTGTTGCTTTCCTTCACCTTCTTGAAGTACTTGTTGATGTTCTCCCATTTCTCCTTGCACCTCTTTGCATTCCTGTTGTACCCCAGTTTCCGCATTCCCGTCGATATCTCCTCCCACAGCGGCCCTTTCGGCCCGTTCTCTTGGTACTTCATGTCCAGATTCGTCCGCAGCTGGATCAGCGCTTGTACCTCCGTTTTCGGCCATCTCGACGAGCTCGCCGGAGTGAAACTCTCGTCCGCTGCTTTGGAAACGTCCATGATTTTTGTCGGCACGGGAGGAGTCGGGGTTGATATTGTGAACGGCATTGTAGCGGGTGGCGCCACGGATATTGGTTCCGGACCTTGCGGAGGTTGTTGCTGAGATTGCGGCGGAATCGGCGGCGGTGGCGGTTGTGGTGTGGGGGTTGATAGGCTTTCCGGCAATTGTATCTGGATTTGCGCTGGAGTAGTTGCATTGGTTATTGGGATTTGAAGATTATGCTGTTCGGAGACCTTTTGCAAAAATTGAAGCACGGCGGCGTCTTTTGCCGCCGCCATGGATCTTTCTTGAACTAAGAGATCGTGCTCCCGGTTCATTCTCGCCATCTCTTGAACTCTCCACGCTTCCTCTCTCACCATCCGGTCGCGCTCTCGCTTCTCCAGAGCTTCTAGAAACCTCTTCTGCAACTCCTCCTGTTTCTCAATCACATCCTTCATCAGCCGCTCGAAGAAGTCCTTCCACTTCCTCTTCCGCCGGTGCCGCCTCTGGATATCCTCGTCCGACGAAGTAGACGACGATGTCGAATCCGACATCGGACTCCCAGGAATATTCCGTTGAGACGGAAACCCACCGGTATTCGCGGCCGGCTGCGGCGGCAGCGACAACGATCTCGTCTGGGACGACGGTGGAAATGCCGGAGCATTGATCGGATTATGAACGCCCGCTCCAAAAGGGTTTTGCGTAGATGGAACAGTAACCTGGGCCGGCACTTGAACCGGAGGAGGAGGATTGGCAGCAACATTGGTTGTACTGGCATTAGAAGCAGCAGCATTATTATTGTTATTATTAATCCCCGGCAATGGCGTCGGCGCCACCATTGGCGATACCGCGGCGGGAGGCAATGGCGGCTGCGGGCGTGGCGGCGGCGGAAGAGCAAGAGCGTGAGAAGGAGTGTGTTCGAAAGCCTCGAGCTGATCGAAAAACCGATAAGTTTTGCCGTCGGCCTTGGAGGCGCGTCCATCCTTTGTCCGCTTATGATACTTGTAAACGTTCTCGAATTTCTCCTTGCATTTCTTGGAGCTTCGATGGTATCCCAGCTCCGCCATTTTCCTGATAACAACAGTCAGCAAACCCAGAAGATATAGCTACAAAAACCAGACAGACAACAAAAAAATACTATACGTACTTTGCCTTGTTTTTCTCATCATATCATATCAACATCTTTCTTTCTTTCTTTCTTAAGTTCATCATCATCAATAACAAAACAAAATACAACACAGTGGCCATCCAATAATTAATCCACATAAAATAAACACCACAATTAATTATCACTAATCACGTACTAGAATAATTAAGCCATGAAGATGGAAAGTAGTGGAGAGATAACGCAACCCGGCCGATTTCTAAAGCCTGAAACACATTTTTGTTATGCGAAAAACAAAGGATTGATTTGCAGAAATCTAGCAGAATTATGATAATGAAGAGGTGGAGAGGAAAACTAGGAAGAATCTACATGACTCATGATGAGCTGATGACAGACTGACAGTTTTTCCTAAATTTCTTGCTAAATTTAGCTGAGAAAAATGCCAAAAAAGCACAACTGAACACCTCAAAACCCGGAATTGCTATTGCCCGAAAAGCAGCAGAATTCTTGTGAAATAAGAGGAAAGAGAAGGAAAGACGATATTTTTCATCAAAGTTCATTAATTCAATGGAATTTCGATCCACCCAGATCTCTACTCTCCATCTATAACCCAAAGATAGATGAAAGAGAAAGATATGAAGATCCCAGGTAATGAATAAAAGAAGAAGAAGGAGGAGGATGAAAGATTCATTTGGGTTAGTTTTTAAATCAATTACCTGGAAACTTCCTCCCACAGCGGGCCTTTCAGGCTTGAGTCTCTGAAAACAACATCCATATCCGACCTAATTTTCAATAGAGCCAAAGTCTCCTGCCTGGGCCACCTATTTCCGCCGGAATTCCTCTCCGCTTCCTCCAGCCTTCCCGCCTTGTCTTCCTCCCCGTAGCCACCCGTCAGCGCTCCCGCGGCGGCGCCACCCACGTCGCTGCTGTTCCCACCACCACCTGCAGCACTACCAGCTCCGCCACTCTCCGGAGCTTCGGGTGGCGCTGCCCCATCGGCGGCGGCGCTTATCAGGCCGGACACTCCCAGCATCTCTGATACGATACGATACGATGCCAAACAATCCTCAACGTACACCAGCAAGTAGATGAAGAAGAAGAAGAAAGAGGAGGCTCCCCCCAGACTGAAAAAAACCAAAATAAAAAAGATGGTGAATTCTGTGGGTTTTTATTAAGATGAGGGCGTGGTGAATTTATTAATTTATTTCGGTGGGATCTGCCTGTCTATCTCTTATATAAAATTTATAAATAAATAATAAAAGAGCAGACATATACCTTTTTTCTCTTTTCTTTTCTCTTAAAATAAAATTTCAGCTAGCTGTGGAATCTTTTCGACTTCTCATTTTTTTATTGCGCAATGTAATAATGTCCTCCAAAAATCTTTTTTATATACAACAAAAATTATACAATTACGGTAGTGGTTATAAGTAAATAGTAAAAAAAATGAAGAGATGAGAGAGAGAGAATTAAGATGAGATAGCGACGATGGTGATAATGTGTTGGTTTTTGTCTGTCCAGCTAAATATAGTTAAAAGCCGGGCCATGTAGGTCACCTTTGCTTTTTGGGCGTTTTGGATTTCAGTGACCTGTTTGGCTACAACACCCAAATGACCGCCTTGCCCCTAACGTGTCTCCCATTTTCACCCCCTCAACTTTTTTAATCTCACTCTTTTTTTTTTTTTTATTTGGATCTCCTGATCATTGATCTCAGATTTGTTTGAGTTGTCCTCCCATTATTTTACTCCATTTTTAGCTCTGTTTCCTCTTTTGCCCCCTTCCTCCTACACTAATTAATAATTAATAATTTACAGCCTCAATCTTATTTTTATTCATCTATCTCATTTATGTGTCCAATTCAATTTTTTTGCTAGTGACTCTATTACAATATAGTATTGCCTCAACTGAACCTCGAATCCACAATCTCCCATATAGAGTGCAACCTCCGTGCCATAATGCCGTTAGACCACAATGTCTTGACTATCCAATTCAATTAAGAACACTTGTTTTTCATAATATTAAGTCAATATACAATTTATAATTTTAGAAATTACTTTGAAATTAAAATTAAACACCAAAAAAAAACAAATTTATAAATAATAACAAAATATTTATAAAAAAAATAAGTATAGAATAAAGAGTTGATTTTATCAATAAATAGTAAATAAGAATGGTAAAATATGATCGAGTAAGTATTATACGGAATAATAATAATAATAATAATAATAATAATAATAATAATAATAATAATAATAATAATAATAATAATTAATAATAATAATAATAATAATAATAATTATTATTATTATTATTATTATTATTATTATTATTATTATTGTAATATCCGAGTAAGGTAAAAATGCGATGTAATGGTAATAAACTAACGCAAATATAGTAATTTCTAACCGATACTCAATACCGGTGTCTGTCAGCCGCTGAATAGGAAAACTATCAAATTATACCGGAATGGATTCACAGCCGCCCACAGATTTCAACCACAGTTGTAACCGATATATAAACAATTGCTTAGCAAATAAGGTTCTTGTTTTTTTTTTTTTTCTATTATCTTATGAAGAATAAAAGCAAGATCATGGATTGAATTCACAAAATTACATTACTAGCTAAAGTGTTTTTTTTATAAATAAAATATTAATATGATTATAGGGGTGGTTTCATTATTTAAAAAAAAAAAGTTGGACAAAAATGATTGATGAAAAAGTGATTTGGTGTTAAAATTGGATCATTTTCTCCCATGGTAGACTAAATTGTAATTTACTTTGTAATAAAGATTATATTGAAATTTTATAAATTTTTAAGTGCCTAAGTACAAATTTTAAAACTTTATCCCACAAAGTGTGGCTGTGAGACTAGAGTTTTATGATTTTTTTTTATATATATAATAACTAGGATTTCACACGTGCTTTGCACGATATGGATTTGTTATAATATTTTAAAAAATATGTAGAACGATATACAATTATATAAATTATAACAACGAATAGTCGAATATTATATAGTACAAATGAAATGGATTGTGTCGATTATGTTTTTTGTTGTTATCTTTGCTTGTATTCGAGCAAATAATTGTCCAATTACTCCTGCGATGTACGAAAAAAACTTTTTATTATATATTTAGATAATAATATTAAAGATGAAATTATAAACAATTCTAATATTGGAAGTGTACATTTGAGAGCATTTTTTTACTAATTACTATTGACTGTATTACAAAATAATATCTATTTTATATTTTTTCTATTTGTTGGAGTCCAATTGAGTCAATACTTCATCACCGGAGTTCGATCACCTCCACTCAAAGTGAGCCACAAAGGTGCCATCTGAATATAATTTAGCATACCGTTGAATGGTCAAAATTAATTTTAGATTTAATTTCCTAAGAAATATAATTTTAATGTAATTTTAAAATGTATAAATATTATTCACTAATACCAATATTGTTCTCATGAATATGATGTCATTCTCATAATTAGTTATTAACTTTGAAATTGTACAAATATAATTTTTGAAGTTCTACAATAGTATATATCAATTTTGGTCATTCCATTATCTTTTGTAGTTAAGTTCCTTACCACCACAGCTTTTTTTGTAAATTCATTAATTAAAATTTTTCCTAATTAAGATACTCTTCAAATATAATAATTTAAAAACAAAACAATATAATAATGAATTTAAAAATTTCCTTATATAGAGCGAGCTACCATACTTTAACCCAAAAATTAATGTACCAATCAAAATTAATATTGTTACAACATTTTGAGAATTGCATTTAAACAATTTGATGAAAATTGAAGATTAATTTTGAGAATGTTATCATAATTGAAAGATCAAATTTTAACTTTTCTCAAATTGTAAAAATATTGGTTTAACCATTGTTAACAGCATAAATTTTATCTCAAAATGTTTACATCCTAATACCATAATAAAACAATTCATTATATTTATTGAGTACCTATGAATTGACCAACCTTATCCTAATCTAAAGATCAGAAGAAATTTCAAGAGTAACCAATCTAAACACATAAAACATGAAGGACCATTGGAGGTCATTTAAAACTCGAATGACCACAACTGATAAATCGCTAATATTCGGAGGACCATTGGAGATATTAACTCCATAAATTGATATAGAAGTAATAATTACTATTTTTTGTATTATTTTACGTGTATTATCATATATACTATTCATTGATCAAACTAAGTTCTCTTTGTTTGTTGTTTTCTTTAAACTTTCTTCAAAAATTTTAAATTAGACATTTTACATTGGTCCACGCTTTATCTCATTTGACATATCTTGCTTAGTATTCATTAGCCGATCAAACTTTTTTTTCTTTAGTTAATTAATTTTTATTTTATTTAATAGTACTTTTAATGTAATTTCTAAATATATAAATTGTAAGTACTAACACTAAATTAAATATTAAAATAAATTGTCAAGCACCTTGTGCTTCAGATGGCATGTAGTGACCTCTCCTATGTGAGAGGTCATGATGGGATCGAGTCTCATTGGAGATGTTGTTGACTCTATGTGCTTCATTAGGTTGAGAAAGTATGTTTGAACCGATATTGCAATGTAATAGAGTCAATAGCATTCAAAAAAAAATATTTAAATAAGTTAAATTAAATTATAAATAATTCCGGTCAAGTCTCACTAATAAAATCAAACAATATAAAGGAGTAGTCCAGTGAGTAGAGTATGTCTCTAGTATATAAAAGTTACGAGTTTAATTATTGTAAATACATTCTCGAATCAAGCCCGTTGCACATTATTTTTCTGGATGGTGTGGTTTACTTAACTAGTAAATAACTTGAATCTATATTTATTATAAAATTGATTTTTTTAGAGAAGATAAATGGTGTTGTTGCTAACAAGTAATGCAATGATACATACATACATATATATATATATATATATATATATATATATATATATATATAAAGGTCCGTACGTAGTAATTCCTGGTAAAGGAATGCAAAGTCGTTGGTTGAGAAGAATATTAATTGGGCGAGGAAATTGAGAATATAATGCAGACACGTAGGTGAAGAGGAGGCAACTGTGAGGATGACTATTTTGGAGCTTTACAAATATGGTTATCCTGAGTTGTTCCAATTTTTTTGCCGCAACTGGAACTATGAAATCGAAAGCTCTGTATTTTTTTATTTTTTTTTTATTTTGCAATTATTTTTTTTTTTTTAAAAAAAAGAAAAAAAAAAAGGGTGGTATCCATTAGTTCAATACAGCAGTCAGATGTAGGTCATATCATTAGGCAAAACCATTTATGAATTGGAGTAAATGGTGTCAATTTCTGTTAGGTTGCAACCTACCCTAATAAAAGGGTACACAATTCTCATTACTCTAATTCTATTTCATTTTAATTAATTTTTATTGTAAACTAATTTCCATATTTAAAATTTGTACTCCGTATAATATCTCGATCAATTAGACACATAAACTTTGAGTTTGGATTATGAGGCAACCCAATATATAATAAGTGCAAGGCCGCTAAGGACCTCCTAACCCAAGAACTAAGGGTCTAATCGAGAATAAGAAATGGGGTAAGTAAGAGGAGGCGGTGTGAATAATGATGGAGATCGAATTAAAAATTCACAAGCTTAGATGGAGTTTGAGGGCACATACAATTATATATCTAGATTTTAAAGAGTTGGGTGAAGAAGATTTTAAAGAGTCTCTATATCATAATGAAACTAGGGGTATGTAATAAGCTATAAATAGGAACATGCCTCCATAGTAGGTAATTCATGTTCATCGCATTCTCCATTACCGACTCCAAGGCAATAGCTACCATGCATGATGTCATTTACATCTTATTTAATTTTTATGTTTCATTATATTGCTTATTTGCACCTATTCTCGAGACTAATTCATTGATTTCACATAATCCAAAAATCCTAAATTTTTCATTCTCAAAAAAAAAATTAAAAATTGATTGTGAACCGGAATCATATCAAACCTTGTATGTTCTTCTATTTCAATTCATATAATACCAGTTTAATATAAATTAAACCATAGTCCCAACTTCTTCTTTTTTTTTTCTTTTTCTTTTTCTTTTTTTAAATTTTAGGGATTGATACTATGACAATTAATCTAACGTTAACCTATAGTCTAGCTAGATAGGTATTTGATCACAAGA